GTAAGTAACTAGCGAAGGCGTTGGTCTGGATAGGCTCCCTTCATGTGTTAAAGTCACGCAAGCCATCCGTCATCTGGGCAAGTGTTCCGGTGGGTAAAGACGCGTGAAAGTGCAGTGCATGGATCACCAGTATCACATCACGGGTCTTGTTCGTCGTTAATTTTTACGGTTAACACTCAGCTGTGTCCTTCGTGCAGATAGGCCCGAAGGCGCTCTTTTTCCACCCACGAGTACTTTGCGCTAATCGTTAAGAATGACCCGGTGGCCGACTTTCAAGCGCATAGTACTTTCACACGGACATTAGGTGGCAAGCGAAGAAACTTTTATCACATCCAGGTGTATTTATCGTTTTATTGGTGTGTGTGTGTGTGTGTGTGTGTGTGTGTGTGTGTGTGTGTGTGTGTGTGTGTGTGTGTGTGTGTGTGTGTGTGTGTGTGTGTGGTGTGTGTGTGTGTGTGTGTGTGTGTGTTGTGTGTGTTGTGTTTGTGTTTGTGTTTGTGTGTGTGTGTGTGTGTGTGTGTGTGTGTGTGTGTGTGTGTGTGATCGCGCGCGTGCGTGCTTTCTTATGCATTTATATACATACATATATGTTCGTGAATATGTATGTACATATAGACATGTACACGAGTGTTGTGTGTTACCTAACACATACATATTCCATGCACTAGACATTCGATCGTACACATTGTAATGCAGTTATAACATGACTATATTTCCATTGTACATGTTGGTGCTGAACTTTTAGCCAAGTAACACATTTGCCCTTGTAAGGTAATAAAAACAACTGAAAATAATTTAATCTTGACTGTAACTTTTATAAAGGTGATACACTATTTCTTCTCCATGACCTATTTATGAAGAAAAATAAATAAATAAATGGGCAGCGTATCTTAAATCAGATTTATTTAAAAATAGATTATACATCAAAGAAGCTAATGATAATGCAGTTACTTCCACAGGTAAAATTTATGACTTCATTTTTTAAAACATATCCTTTGATACATCCTCACATCACCCTGAACAATATAGCACTTATAGTCAAAAGGCTACTATTATAAAGGTACACAAAGGGGACTAATATTACCCTTCAGTGTAATATCAATTGTCGGTATGAGAACACCGTGTAATTTTTAGTCGAATTGAGCGTTTATGCCATATTATGTGCGCGCTTTTTATGATGACATTTGATATACCCTGAAATTAAGTGCTGTACAAGGCAACAGCGCGAATCATTATGAAATCAGTTTTTTGCAGCTTATGTCGTTGTTTTATATCAATGTACAATGCTGTTTATTATGATTAATTGCATGCAAATGGCACATTGATATAGAAGTCGATTTCAACCAATCTTTTTCCTTGTATCTAAGTCTTTAAGCCTCTCTCGCTGTCTTTCTCACTCACTCTATTACTCTCAATCTCTCTCTCTCTCTTCTCTGTCTCTCTCTCTCTCTCATCTCTTCTCTCTTTTCTTCTCTCCCTTCTCTTATTATTCTCTCTCTCTTCTCTCTCTCTCTCATTCTCTCTCTCTGCTCTCTCTCGTCTCTCTCTCCTTCTCTCGCTTCTCTCTCTCTCTTCTCTTCTCTTTCTTCTCCTCCTCTCCTCTTCTCCCTCTCTCTGTTCTCTCTCTCTCCTCTCTCCTCCCTCTCTCTCTCCTCTCCTCCTCCTCTCTCTCTCTTTCTCCCTCTCTCCCTCTCCTGTCCCCTCCCTCTCTCTCTCCCTCTCCCTCCCTCTCCCTCTCCCTCTCCCTCTCCCTCTCCCTCTCCTCTCCCTCTCCTCCTCCCTCCCTCTCCCCTCCCCTCCCCTCCCTCCCCTCCCTCCTCTCTCTCTCCCTCCTCCTCTCACTTCATCCACCTCACCCTCTCTCCCTCCCTCCCCTCCTCCCCTCACTTCATCCCCATCCAACCCTCTGCCTCCTCCTCCTTTTTCGATTTCTATACAATTGCATTATTTTTCCTGCACCGACGCATCTCCCTTGCAATCAACATTAGCCTGTACACGGTGCATGTAAAATCGACAACGCACACATTACATATACCCATAAATGTAGACGCTTAAAAAGATACACTTCCTTGACCACCCTCCCCTCCCCCCTTCCGCTTGTGAATGCCAGCGCGATGGGTGTTGTGACAGTGCCTGTGACAAGTGGTGTGTTTCGCGTAGAGTCAGAACAGTGCCAGGTGCCATTGTTCGGTGCCTAGCTTGTTAGGTCGCTTTATCACCGGCGTCGAATTTGTTCACGTGTGTATTTGTACTGTGTGTATGTGTGTATGGCATTGTGTGTGTGTGTGTGGTGTGTGGTGTGTGTGTGTGTGTGTGTGTGTGTGTGTGTGTGTGGTGGTGTTGTGGTGTGTGGGTGTGTGTGTGTGTGTTTGTGTGTGTTTGTGTGTGGGTGTGTGTGTGTGTGTGTGTGTGTGTGTGTGTGTGTGTTGTGTGTGTGTGTGTGTGTGTGTGTGTGTTGTGTGTGTGGTTGTGTTTGTGTGTGCTGCTGTGTGTGTGTGTGTTGTGTTGTGTGTGTGTGTGGTGTGTGTGTGTGTGTGTGTGTGTGTGTGTGTGTGTGTGTGTGTGTGTGTGTGTGTGTGTTTGTGTTGTTTGCGCGCGTTGTGTATGTATGCGTCTGTTTACTTGTTTGCGTGTGTGTTGTTGCGTGCGTGAACGTGTGTGTGTGTGTGTGTGTGTGTGTGTGTGTGTGTGTGTGTGTGTGTGTGTGTGTGTGTGTGTGTGTGTGTGTGTGTGTTTATTTTGCCTGTGTGAGTGTGTGTGTGTGCGTATCTGTCTGTCTGTTTGCATGTGATCGTGCGCGCTCCTATACGTGTAACAGATGGTTTACTGTACATGAATAGCAACGTTTGTTTGTATGTGCTTTTGTTGTATACATTTGTGCGACTGTGCACCTGTGTGATTACATAGTGGGATGTGCATGTTTGTTCGAAAGAGGGTGGTGTCAGTCGTGTTTCAAGTCTGCAACTTGTTTATGGATCTATCCCCGTATATATATACAATCTAGTTCTCTATCTTTCTGTCCATTTTTCCTCCAGTTGAGATTATACGTAGAAAGAGAAGATTATACCTATTTTATAAGGATTCAGTGTGCTCTATAAGTAAACAATGTGGTAGAGAAAGAAAAAGGATTCCTAGCTTATACGTAGTTAGTGTAGTGTGTAATCCACATTTATAAGTAATCAGTGTAATAAAGGAAAAGTGTTCCTCTCTTATAAGTATTTAGTGCAGTATAGAAAGAAAATGTAACCCACTTTTATAAGTAATCAATGTAATAGAGAAAGAAAAAGTATTCCTCTCTTATAAGTAGGCAGTGTAATATAGAAAGAAAAGAGTATTCCTTTTTATAAGTAGGCAGTGTAGAAAAGAAAGAAAAAGTGTACCTCTTTCATAAGTAGGCAATGTAGTATAGGTAGAAAACGTATTTCTCATAAGCAGTCACTGTAGTAAATAGAGTATAAGCAGTTCCAGTCGTTTATAAGTAGGCAGTGTAGTAGAGAAAGAAAAGGTTTTCCTTTTTGATAGTAATCAGTATTGAGCAAAAAGAAAAAAAAAATTCTCTTTATAGATAGTCAACTTAGTATTGTAAATAAGTTCCCATCTTTTATAAGTAGTCAAAGTAGTATATAAAGAGAGAATTTCCATTTTCAACGAAGGGTAAAAAGAAAGAAAAGTACTTCTCTTTTATGAATAATCAGTTTAATAGAAGAGAAAGCGTGTTTTCTTCTTTTATAAGTAGGGCAATATTTTAGAATCGAGAGTTATCCTCTTTTATAAGTAGTTAACGTAGAGTAAAAAAAAATCTAAAGTAAAATATATGTATATATCTTTAATAAATTGTCAATTTAGTACGGAAAGGTAAGGTATTTCTCCTTTATAAGGAAGCAAATTAGTATCCACAGAAGTCGGGCTTTAAATGAACTATACTGACGTATCCCTTTACCTTCACCATTTGCAAAAGGAATCACAACACCCAACTTTCGCCAACAGAACACAGACATCCTAACATTAACACTCACATCATTCCATTACTTCAAAATTGCAACCGCTGCAACAGAGAAAAAAAAAGTATCAAGACAATAGGCCTCTATTTTCTGCGCAACCCTTTGGCAGCTATATCATGCCACACACTGGCCCTCGATCCCTCTTCTGAAATTTATAGCCTCTGCTGTTATGTAGCAGGGAATATGACTGCTTGTTTACCGCAATGTATTGTCGGGATGCGGGTGCTGGAGGTATGGAGGCTTGGTTACTGAATTACACTTTAAAATGAGTATTTATTGATTTGGGTTTGGGCAACTCTGGTTTGGGAAGCTGGTACTACCGTGTACAGGGTATTACGTTAGGAGGACAGGAATAGGTGTGCGTGTATATATATATATATATATATATATATATATATATATATATATATATATATATATATGTGTATATGTGTGTGTGTGTGGTGTGTGTGTGTGTGTGTGTGTGTGTGTGTGTGTGTACTATAGATATACATGTATATAAGTATCTATCTATCTATCTACTATCTATCTATCTATCTATATCTATCTATCTATCTATCTATCTATCTATCTATCTATCTATCTATCTATATATATATATATATATATATATATATATATATATATATATATATATATATATGTATATGTATATATATATATATATATATATATATATATATATATATATATATATATATATATATATATATATATATATATATATATATATATATATATATATATATATATATATATATATATATATATATATATATACATATGTATACATATAATATATATATGTACGTACATGCATACATACGTATTCATATTAAGTATGTATGAGTATATATATATATATATATATATATATATATATATATGTGTGTGTGTGTGTGTGTGTGTGTGTGTGTGTGTGTGTGTGTGTGTGTGTGTGTGGAAGTGTGTACATATGTATATGGATGTATGTATGTATGTATATATATATATATATAT